TTATCATATTTATCACATGGGCACCCAGGGGCAGACTGACAACTCATGGGGACCCCAGGCAATAGGGGATCATGGGGCCCCTGTGTCCTTACCCAAACTCAAAAAAAACCTATGAAAAAGGTACCAGGGGCATCTCATGGGACCCCCTACTGACCCCGGTCCCTCGGGCAGTGCCCGAGTTTCCAAATGGTCAGTCCGCCCCTGTGGGCATTATTCTTTCTCACTGAAAAAAAAGTGTTCTCTGATTGAACAGGTAGGGGATTGTGACATCACCGCTTTTCCTCTCCTCCTCATCCAATTGGAGACTGCATTGCATTCACTGAGAAAATGCAAAGTGTTTTCTGAATGGCACCCATAGAAGTGAGCAACCTCCTGGGTTCACAAGACAATACGGTAGCTGTTTAGCACAGGACCCAGAAACTGGTGGAAATCACTCTAGTAGAGGTGTCTACTACAGTGATTTCCAGCTTCCACAGGGATCCCAAAGGTATGGCACAAACATAATTACATTAGTGCAAGCTGTAGAAATGCAACTTTGTAAAAATTGCAGTTCCTGGAATTCATTTTTAAAATTGCATACATCTGTGAAACAGCGATAAACTACAGTACCCAAAATTGTCCACAGTTGACACTTTAAATCCTTTTACAGGTCATCAGATTAGAGTTAACCATGAATGATGGCCCTAGAGTTATTCCTCACACTCCAGTGCGTGCATCAATACTTAATATGTATAACGCAAACATCTTCTCATAGGTAGGTGCACCCCATGCTCACATTTATGTTTTTGATATGGTGTACATGGGGAATTAAAAAAATTCCCCCCTACACCCAAGGCAACTTGAAAATTACTCCTCGCAGTAGGGTTGTGTCCTCATTGCAAGAGTTAATTTCTCATTTAGGTCTAGGAGACTTGGTAAAGTAGACTTATTAACCCGAACCTTCATGCTGCTAAAGCAGTCCCGGCACCATCTTCTCCCCATGCTCAATTTTTAAATTCCATTCCATTGGATTTACTTGTTGCTGTGCTCAAAAACAAATGTTGATTTGATAAAATTAATGATTAGAAAATCCAATAAATGTTCTTTAAACAAAACATTTTGAACAAAATACCATTAGCATATGGCCAGCTGATGCTGCCAACTATTGTCCCTATAGGGAGAATTGTCATTTTCTGTTGCATCTTCAGAACAATAAGGTACATTTCTCTAGCAGGACAGACATTGAAGAAAACAACCCTTCTCTACTCTATCCCAAATTTAAAAAAATAGTACACATGAACTCTAAATTTAGAAGACTATTAGGATATGAATCCAAGCAATAGTACAATATCATCGGATGCAACATAAACTAAAGATAGCAGTTGGAGAACACTCCTCCGAGTCCTCACTAAAGACTTGTTTTCCAAGATAAGTCAGGATTTAGGCTCCGCTCACATAGAGGTGCATCTCAATAAATTAGAATATCATCAAAAACTTAATTTATTTCAGTTGTTCAATTCAAAACTCATATGTTGTATAGATACATTACACACAGTGATATATTTCAAGCATTTCTTTCTTTTAATTTTGATGATTATGGCTTACAGCTAGTGAAACCCAAAATTCAGTATCTCAGAAAATAATAATATTACATAAGACCAATCAAAAAAAGGAGTTTTATTACAGAAATGTTGGCTTACTGAAAAGTATGTCCATGTACAGTATAGTATGCACTCAGTACTTGGTTGGACTCCTTTTGCATGAATTACTGCATCAATGTGGCGTGGCATGGAGGCAATCAGCCTGTGGCATTGCTGTGGTGTTATGGAAGCCCAGGTTGATAGCAGCCTTCAGCTTATCTGCATTGTTGGCTCTGGTGTCTCTCTGTACTGCGTTTTACAGTACATCATTTGCATTCCTCAAGACAGTGAGACATTTTTTCTGGATATGGTGATGTATGGGGCTTGTCCATGAGAGGCTAACATTTAAGCCCGTGGATGAGTGTACTCGTATTATATATCTGTAGCAGGATAGATTATACTATCTAATTAGTTTTGTCCATGGGGTAACTCCATTTCCTTAATAAAGATAATATATTCAAGCTGATAGGCTTATGATCAAACTACATTGTCTCTTTATTTGTCATCACTTCATCTAAAACAGTATGCTATTTGATGGTGTTTGATGGTCTGGTGTATTAACCATTTAGATGTAAGGTAAATAATTGCAATGGTATCCAGTCGTATTGTTGTGCACAGTACATTCCACTCCAACAGGCATTAATTACAGCTGAGCATACATTTTTTTAAATATATGAAAAAAGGTATATATATTTTAGATTCATCTTCAATTTACATTGGGTGCCTCAAGTATGGCCACTAAGATCACCAAAGGGTTGCACACAATATTCAGTAAATATTATACTACAGAAAACTGCAACAGGAGAGGAATTGGAGCTACATTACATGAGATTGCTGCAGTTTACTAATATTACAGATCCTAGACAAATCCATGCCTCCATGTTTGTGCTCCCTACATCCACCTTTGAAAAAGGACTCCAAGGGCTCCACAATTTGGGCACCACTTATTTAGAAGGTTGGGCACCAATGGATAGAAGGTTGGAGACCAGGGGGTAGAAGGTTGTGCAGCAGTGGATAGAAGGTTGGTCACCATGGAGTAGAAGGTTGGGCACCATAGGGTAGAAGGATGGGTACCAGTGGGTGGAAGGTTGGGCACCATGGGGTAGAAGATTGGACACCATGGAGTAGAAGGTTGGGCACCATAGGTAGAAGATTGGGCAGCAGGGGGTCAGAAGGTTGAGCACCATTGGGTAGAAGGTTGGACACCAGGGGGTAGAAGGCTGGGTACCAATGGGTAGACAGTTGGGTTGTATGGGTAGATACCAATAGGAGCTTTGGCACCTGGGGGTAGAAGGTTGGGCACCAGGGATTTAGAGGTTTGGACACCAGGGGGTAGTAGGTTGAACATCCATGGGTAGAAGGTTGGGTAGAAGGTCGGACACCAGAGGGTAGAAGGTTGGGCCCCAATGGGTAGACAGTTGGGTAGTATGGGTAGATACCAATGGATAGAAGGTTGGGCACCAGAGATTTAGAAGTTTGGACAACAGGGGGTAGTAGGTTGGACATCTGTGGGTAGAAGGTTGGGCACCCGGGGGGCAGAAGGTTGGGCACCAATGGGTAGAAGGTTGGGCACCCTGGGGTAAAAATTTGGGCATCAGTTGGTAGAAGGCTGGCCACCAGGGGTAAGAAGGCTGGGCACTAGTGGGTAGAAGGTTGGACACCAGGGGGTAAGAAGGTTGAGCACCAATGGGTAAAAAGTTGAACACTGGGGGGGGGGGGGATTGGGTACCAATGGGTAGATAGTTGGGGACCAATGGGTAGAAGTTTGGGCAACTGGGGGTAGAAGGCTGGGCACCAGGGATTTAGAAGATTGGACACCAGGGAGTAGTAGATTGGACATCTGTGAGTAGAAGGTTTGACACCAATGGGTAGAAGGCTGGGCGCCATGGGGTAAAAGATTGGGCATCAGTGGGTAGAAGACTGGCTACCAGGGGGTAAGAAGATTGGGCACTAGTGGGTAGAAGGTTGGGCACCAGGGGGTAAGAAAGTTGGGCACTGGGTAGAAGGTGGGCACCAGGGGGTACGAAGGTTGGGCACTAGTGGGTAGAAGGTTGGGCACCAGGGGGTACGAAGGTTGGGCACTAGTGGGTAGAAGGATGCACAACAGGGATTTAGAGAGTACCCACAGAGCGAACGGTGAATGATGGCCAGCATGCACTAACACTGCAAGTGTGTGACAATGAATTGAAAAGCGATTATTATTCCTGGATCGGGGTCAGGGCTTGTCCCTCCAAGGGTGAAGCACAGTACAGTCCCAGCTGAGATATCACAGCCTTGCCAAGTGTTCACACAGAGATATCCAGTATCTACCAAGGGTCAGGATGATAATGTCAGGATCAGCAGATTAATGTATGCAGAGAGGGCAGTTAAAATATTCCGCGTTGCATTAATATTCTGGCAGAATTTATCAGCTTACAGCCACTTGTGCCCCCCTCTGTGACCTACAGAATCATGCCTGATTACACCATACATTAGGCTTGCATTTAATGTTAAAGCTTGGAGCATTAAGCCCCTCAAAAATGTTTTTTAATTAAACATACGATACGGAAGAGCTCAGGCTTCATGTCACACTTCAACTATTTCCATTGCTGTTTACAAGATGCATTTCCTCCAATGTAGAGATGCCAGGGGATCAGACACTTGACGCGAGATGTGTCAATGGATCTCAGGATGCAAAAAAAAAGTGAAAATCTGCAAAGTAACTTTTATTTTTAAAGTTTGAACATTTGCTGATACAGTTTAAAAAATGTGCTGCGTTCTTTTAGGGCAATTCCAGATCTGAAACTTTTTTTTCTTCATCATGAACCATTTTCATGGCAGCACAGTGGCTAAATGGTTAGCATTTCCGCCTGGCAGTACTCGGGTCGTTGGTTTGAATCCCAGCCACGTGCACCACCTACCTGGAGTTTGCATGTTCTTCCTGTGCCTGCGTGGATTTCCTCCCACACTCCAAAGACATGCTGGTAGGTGAATTGGCTCCTGTCTAAATTGTCCCTAGTATGTGTATGTATGAATGTGAGTTAGGGACCTTAGATTGTACACCCCTTGAGGGTTAGGGACTGATGTGAATGTACAATATATATGTAAAGCGCTGCGTAAATAGATGGCGCTATATAAGTACCCGAAAATAATAAATAAATAAATGTTAGCTCATGGGATGAAGTCAACTCAAAAACAGGGCAGGCCAAATCGGACTACATTGTGCAGCACAGACCCCAGATTTGGAGATTTGTCCCAACTTCTATTCCCTGTTAGGTGTGTGGCAGCCAGGTACACAGCAGCTTCATAGTCTCTCAAAACAATAACCGGGCAGTGGGTGTCTTTTTGACGTTTAACCCCCCTGGCGGTATTCCCGAGTGTAGCTCGGGGTAAAGTTTCAGCACCACAAGCGGTAACCCCCCCGAGCTACACTCGGGAATACACTGCAGCGTTGCTCCGGGATCTCTTCTTCACTTACCTTCTCTTGCGCTCCCGCGATGTCCCTCCTGCAGTGTCCCCTGTAATGTCCTCTGGCTGATGCCGGCATCCGTCTTCTGGGTTCCGATCCCTGCAATGTCGGGACGTACGGGGGATGGAACTGGCGGGAAATTTTAAAATTTTAAAAGTGACATTCACTAAATTCACTAAAATCACATAGTATAACATTCCTGTATCAAACCATTTCACATACATTTTGTCCCGAGTGCTTTGTCCGGCGCCCTGCCTGCATTTTTACTGTTCTTTCTGCCTGGAAACTGAGAAAGTTAAGTGATGTTGGTGGCCATCCAACCCCCTAAGACTGAGGCCATCTAGTGGAGGAAATGAAATACTGCAGGGGACAGCTCTGGATTACAGGCAGGGGCGGACTGACAACTCATGGGGCCCCCGGGCATAAGGGGATCATGGGGCTCCTGTGTCCTTGCCCAGACTCAAAAAAAGCTTATGAAAAAGGTACCAGGGGCATCTTATGGGGCCCCCTACTGACCTTGGGCCCTCGGGCAGTGCCCGAGTTTCCAAATGGTCAGTCCGCCCCTGGCCTGGGCTCAGAGGAAGCAGGGTTAAGTGTTGTTGGTAGCCATTCAACCCCCTAAGACCGAGGCCACCTAGTGGTGGAATTATCTACTGCAGGGCCAGCTATGGATTACAGGTGACTATTGATGCAAAAGCTGCTTTTTATGCTATTACTAGGCTCTTTTGTTTTTTTAGCTTTATTCAGTTTACAGTTCATGCTTTCCTGACGTTCAGGAATAAAACGTAATAAAAAAAACCTGAGTGACGATGAATCCTCCAGATCAGTATTGTCCTCGCAGCTTGCGTCTAACCTCTCCGTTGTCATTTCATAAAACTGGTCCCATAGTCCTGGCTTCAGTGGCTCATCACAGAAGACGTTGTCAGGGGAGCTCGGGAGGCAGGCGGTAATGTATGGTGTATGAGCGGAGATGGGAAGTGTTCCAAAGCGGGCCCTTAAGTAGAAAACAACATAAAGAGGCTTTTAGCATTTGACTTTGTAGAAAATTTCCAGCGCTGCCACCTCCTTATTAGAAGAAGGCACAAAGGGGGGGGGGGAGGGCTGACGTTAAGTGCTTCCACACGGGAATGCGTCTTTGCAAACCTGGCAAGCGCCTCGCCAACTTGAGATGGCCCGCGTGTTTACAGAGCTTTGGGAAGTTTCATCACCTTCACATCAATGTGTCTCCCGGCACGCAAAGAAGAGACACGTTTCAGCCTCTGCAAATTTGCTTTTCTCGGTGGGTAGGCGGAGGAGAACCATACATACCCTTAGGGCTGGTTTACACTTGCAGTTGGTGGGCGTTAACATCACGCAGTTGAACCACATTTTTAACACCCCCCCCCCCAACCGCTTACCCTTTAGCTGCAACGGCAGAGGCCAGTGTCAGTTAGTGTCAGATTACCCTCCACACTATCACAGTCCCACTATAAGTCACTGATCACTGCTATTAGCAGCTTAAAAAAAATTCTAGTATATACTGTATCATATTATTATAATTATACAGGATTTATAGATTATTATTATTATTATACAAGATTTATATATTATTATTATTATTATACAGGATTTATTTATTATTATGATTATTATTATTAAAAAAGGATTTATATATTATTATTATTATTATTATTATTATTATTATTATTATTATTATTATTAAAAGGATTTATATATTATTATTATACAGGATTTATATATTATTATTATTATACAGGATTTATATATTATTACTATACAGGATTTATATATTATTATTATTATTATACAGGATTTATATATTATTATTATTATTATTATACAGGATTTATGGCACCAACAGTTTGCTCAGCACTTTACATCATAACAGGAGACAATACAGCAACAATACAGTTCAATGCAAGAGGGATAGGAGGGCCTGATCCTGGGAGCTTACAATCTAGGATTCTGTAGACACTATAACTTTCACACAAACCAATCAATATACACAATATACACTTATTGGGCTTTTTTTTAATACCAAAGACATGTAGCAGAATACAAGTTGGCCTAAACTTATGCAGAAATTGTATTTTTACATTTTTTTTTAATTGAGTATGTTTTATAACAGAAAATCAAAAATGTTGTTTTTTTCCCAAATGTTCAATCTTTTTCATTTACTCTATTTAATAAAAAATTTAAAAAAAACCAGTGGTGATACAAAAACCCAGATAAAAAACCCAGTGATGATACAAATACCACCAAAAGAAAAATGACCGCACAATATATATATATGATAATAACTGAATGTATATTTACAGTTGCAAGAAAAAGTATGTGAACCCCTTGGGATTACGTGGAGTTTTGCATGAATTGGGCATAAAATGTTCTCTGAACGTCATCTAAGTCACAACAATAGAAGAACACAGTCTGCTGAACATAATACTACACAAACATTAGATGTTGCCATGGTTTAATTGCACATAACATGTAAACATTCACAGTGCAGGGAGGAAAAAGTATGTGAGGCCCTAGCTTAATGACTTCTCCCAGACATAATTGGAGCCAGGAGTGAGCCAACCTTGACTCCAATCAGTGTGATGATATTGGATGTGTTGCTGACAGCTGTCCTGCCCTTAAAAAACACACACCTGTTTTGGGTTTACTGGTTTCAAGAAGCACTGTCTGATGTGAACCATGCCTCGCAGAAAAGAGCTCTCAGAAACCTACGATCAAGAATTGTTGACTTGCATGAAGCTGGAAAGGGTTACAAAAGTATCTCCAAAAGCCTTGATGTTCATGTGTCCACGGTAACACAGACTGTCTACAGATGGAGAAAGTTTAACACTGTTGCTACTCTCCCTAGGCCTGGTCGTCCTGTAAAAATGACTGCAAGAGCACAGCGCAGAATGCTGCATGAGGTAAAGAAGAATCCCAGAGTGTCAGCTAAAGACTTACAGAAATCTCTCTGGCACATGCTAACATTTTTGTTGACACATCTACAATAAGGAAAACATTAAACAAGAATGGAGTACATGGGAGGACACCACGGAGGAAGCCATTGCTGTCCAAAAAGAATATTGCAGCACGTTTGAAGTTTGCAAAAGAGCACCTGGATGTTCCACAGCACTACTGGCAGAAATATACTGTGGACAGATGAAACCAAGATTGAGTTGTTTGGAAAGAACACACAACACTATGTGTGGAGAAAAAAAGGCACAGCACACCAACATCAAAACCTCATCCCCACTGTAAAACATGGCGGAGGGAGCATCATGGTTTGGGGCTGCTTTGCTGCCTCAGGGCCTAGACTTATTGTTGTCATTGATGGGAAAATTAATTCCAGAGTTTATCAAGACATTTTGCAGGAAAACGTACGACCATCTGTCCGCCAACTGAAGCTCCGCAGAGGATGGGTGATAGGTAACAGGGCAATGACCCAAAGCATACAAGTAATTCAACAAAACAATGGCTGCAACAGCACAGAATACGCCTTCTGGAGTGGACCAGTCAGAGTCCTGACCTCAACCCGATTGAAATGCTGTGGCATGACCTTAAGAGAGCGATTCACATCAGACATCCCAAGAATATTGCTACACTGAAACAGTTTTGTGAAGAGGAGTGGTCCAAAATTACTTCAGATTGTTGTGCAGGTCTGATCTGCAACTACAGGAAACGTTTGGTTGAGGTTATTGCTGCCAAAGGAGGGTCAACCAGTTATTAAGTCCAAAGGTTCACATACTTTTTCCTCCCTGCACTGTGAATGTTTACATGTTATGTGCAATTAAACCATGGCAACATCTAATGTTTGTGTAGTATTACGTACAGCAGACTGTGTTCTTCTATTGTTGTGACTTAGATGACGTTCAGAGCACATTTTATGCCCAATTCATGCAAAACTCCACGTAATCCCAAGGTGTTCACATACTTTTTCTTGCAACTGTATATATATATATATATATATATATATATATAATTTTTTTAATTATTTGTTATTATTATTTATTTTTATGTTTTTTCCTAATTTTTTTTAGACTTCATCTGTGACTGTTTATAAGTTATTAAATTATTTTGTGTTCATTTAGCATAAAAAATTGAAAATAGTCAATGAAAAGTCACACCAATAAGGATTTATTCTATTTTATTATACATAGCACATAAATAAAATAAATATATATAATAAAATATACAGTATGTATATGTGTGTATATATATATATATATATATATATATATATATATATATATAAATAAATACATGTATATTTATATAGTGTATATATATATATATATATATATATATATCTTATTTATTATATATATTTATTTTATTTATGTGCTATGCATATTAAAATAGAATAAATCCTTATTGGTGTGACTTTTCATTGACTACTTTTTCTTATTATTATTTGTTATTATTATTTTTTTTTTCCTAATTTTTTTTAGACTTTATCTGTGACTGTTCATAAGTTATTAAATTATTTTGTTTTAATTTAACATGAAAAAGTATGAAAATAGTAAATTAAAAGTCACACCAATAAGGATTTATTCTATCTTAGTATGCATAGCACATAAATAAAATAAATATAGTTAATAGAATATACAGTATATATATATATATATATATATATATATATATGAATAAATATATATATATACATATATATATATATATACACACACAGTATATATATATATATATATATATATATGAATAAAAAATACACACAGTATATATATATATATATATATATATATATATATATATATATGTATAAATATGTACAGTATATATATATATATGAATAAATAAATAAATGTATATATATGTATATATATGTGTGTGTATATATATATGTATATATGTGTATATATATATATATATATATATAGAACATTTTTGTTTTCCTAATTTTTGGGGAATCTGTTACTTTAGCCGCAGTTAACATTTACCTACTAATTTTGACAATAAACAAAAACAGAACACTTCAAAAAGAAGCCTAGGGATAAACATTGTGGGTTTAGATCCCGTTACTACATGTGACAAGACATGGTCCTTGCCCGAGGCTGATCTTTTTTTTTTTATTGTCACCTGGAAAATTGCCAGCCTTGTAGAAGTTTTTCTTTTTAAGGACGTGCAAGAGCAAAGGTGACAAATGTCCTGTCTGGCCGAATTAATCAAACATTTCTCAGCGCGTCTCCAGCTTAAAACACTCCAGATTTCTCAACTGTTTGATAAATAATAGGTATTCATCAAGTCTTTTTTTTTTTGTAATCACCA